AGCTTCCTTGTCGGTATAGAAACGTCGCGCCCATTGTAACACAATGCGCCGCGCGTGACGGCGCGGTGAATTACGAATGTCTTGACCGTCCCCGTCACTGAACACAACGATCCCACATGGTCACAAAGCTCAATGACCATCTTTGCGCGCTAGAGCGTCCGTCAACACCATAGTTCCGAAAAAGTTATTGATCGCCGCTTGAACCTACCAGATCTGCTGGCACTCACCTTTCCTTAATTGGTCCTCTTCGATCATGCGTCTGCACCAGACTACTGCTTCGAAACGGTTCAATGTCTCGTCGGCATTCATCGCTCAGCCTAAACATTGCAATTCAATCACCGATTGGGAATATGAAGAACGGTTCGAAATTCGGTTCGCAAAACTGCAGAATTGAAGTCTTGGACGAACTTCCAATTTGACTTAATGACAAGACGAAAGGACTAAGGTAATAAACAATCACACATAAGAGAAAAAATTTCAATTTTCCTTCACCACCTCTTCTGTCATGATCTCACTGTGTAAAGACAGCCCCCACGCTCAAGTAATCCTGGTCATCCTTCCGCCCACTTGCTAGATGCCCTCTGACGGAGGGCCGCTCAGTTGTTCTTTGTTGGAACGGCGGGCATTAATCGGAATTGCATGTCCTTTTGCTGACCGCGCTCGTGCCCATAAGTAATTCTGCTCTCCTTTACTACGTAATCGTGCCCATGAGTAATTCCGCTCCCCTTTTACTGACATTTTATTCATTTAAGAGCAACATTAGCCAAATGGCAAACCTCATCTCGCAAAGTAAAATGTTTCGTAATCACCAGTAATGCAATTTTTTTGGTGCAAAAACTCGACTACACTACAAGATGCACGCTACCGTATTCCTAAATTCGGATGCAGGGTTTTTCAAAGTTTCTTTTCATTACGAGTTTTCTGTTTTTTTTTATTACGTGTGTTTTCTTTTCGATTGATTGGTATTTACAGCTGCGGAGACCGAAAAAGCGTATTTAAAGAGCCAGGCTTTCACAGGGCTAATGCCGTTTGGACTCCAGCAATTTCGGCACCGAGCTCATTTTTAAATTGCCTAAGTCACCAAATCCGCTAAAAACTTGTATATAGGGGTAGTTTAACATTCTAATTACAAATATGACATTTCACCTCTGGCGCTTAATGGATGGACACTTACCGATTAATCTGCGCTCTTCTAAGGCGAGCCACGAATATCGACAGTACCATCTCTTGCGCCAGCCAAGATGAGTGTCATAATTGTAATAGCGATGTTAAATGACTTAGGCAATTTAAAAATGAGCTCGGTGCCGAAATTGCTGGAGTCCAAACGGCATTAGCCTTTGCACAGAGACCGCAAGGCGGTGTGGCTGTCAGGGAGCGATTTTGTTTGTGGTGTTCTTGAAGATCTTTCTTTCTTTTTCTTCTTTGGGGAATTACTTATCAGCTACGTTCATAACTGAGCAGCAACTATCCATGACATTTAATCTGGGAACTGTCTTTAAAGGTAACGAAAGTCGAGTCATAGGCAAAACGTTCGGTCCCGGACAGGAACTGAAACCGTAATTTTGCCATCTAGGACCCACAAAAATGGATAGTTTATCACAAGAAAAAAATTTCTAGGAAATGCTTGCTTTTTGAGCGATGTAACGGTTAAATACGGTGCCAGGAAAGCATAAGTAAAGGTATGGGACTGCCTGAAGCTGAAAGCCTTGCCCTCATGTCTCTACGTTCACGCTGAGAATGATCAACCGACTTTCAATCACTCACCGCTCCATGATTCCAAACTCGTCCGATTTCCCTACGAGTTCAGAGAGTAGCGACTGAAGGGCGTATTCCACTTGATCGAGTACATCTGCATCTAATATATTAGAGTAAACACGCCATGCACGTTCCAAGATATCCACGTAGAACTGAAACCTCATTAAAAATATCCTCAGATTCTCCGCAAAAGTCTCACCTCTTTAGCATCATCGACAAAAACCATTTTCTTCTGATCCTGCGTAGATGTGCCATTAGATGACCCGATTCTTCCCGGGTCCACTGCACCAAGTCGACCTAGGCATTGTGCAGACAGCACACGAATGCTGAGATCACCGCAATTACGCATGGTGTGTAACAGAGCTGGTATCTGAAGGCGAAGTCCAACAGTAATCTAGCAAAAGAAGAGAGCGAAAAAAACGGGGATGCCTCACAAGGCTGGCAGCAAGAGCATCAGTCAACGGATTACCATCCAGTACGGAAAGCAGTTTCTGAAGTACCACACGTCCCACGGTATCACATTCTTCCAGCAGCATACGAACACAACCTGAAGAATTTAGATGAAATAGGGATTTCTTCCAACTACCACTATCGATTTCTCATTTTTTTTCCAGTCTTTCATGTTTCTATAAAGCGATAGTATTCACTGGCTAGCCATGGAGGAATGGATGAGGTTCGTAGGGACAGAACTTGCCGTCGCAGACCCGATTGGCGGGTGGAGCGGTCTGTGGCTATTGGAGAGCACATAATCTTGGGGTGCGTTCACACCTCGCGTCGGCGTTTTGAGCGTAGCCAGCGTACACCAGAGGCTCAAAACGCTGGATCAATACCAATACTTTCCTAGTAGAAGAGACGCTCAAAACGTTGACGCAAAGCATGAACGCACTTCAAGTACAGCGGAAGATATCAACGCTTACCAGAGACTATATGCTCTATGGAGTCGTTGGTGCACGTACGACGAAGGTGGAAATTGATTCGTGATGAATCCCCCGCTTCACTGTTTACCAGTACCATTGCAGTTCGTT